ATAAGTCTAGATTTGTGCCTGCATTTGGACCGAGTGGGGATAGCGAGGCCATCCTGATGACTGATACTCAGCGGTGAAGACATCTGAGATCCCCTTTCAGCTAGCGACCCAAGTCCTTGGAAGCCATATAGTTACTGCATTTGGCAGTGACCTTACTTCTGGTAATTTCGTATTAGTGCTGGGCATGCTGCTTCTGTCAACGAATAGACCCGATGTCAGCGAAAGCGCGAGCAGTCCAAGTCCTTAGGGCTGATTCGGATACGGCCTCAGTAACAATCGTATGCTTGGTAGTCTGTCACAGTCGCGGTACTTTCTGCTATGGTGCGAATACAGCGGATGTCGATGAGGATGTGAGCGGAGAGCCAGCAGTCGTTGAATCCGTATCCGACGCCGGATGCAGTGCCTCAGTAATCAGGTATTGAGGAGATGTATGTTGATGAAGCTGCCAAAGTTATAAGTAACGGGCGCAATGCTCTCTTCCAGCATCAGCTCAGTGCCTCACTATCCTTCCTGCATCCTCATCTCAAATCCTTCACTTCTCTTTCCTACATCACGGCCTTGATCAGCTACCTACCTCAACATGACTGCCTCATTCATCAAGCTATCCCTCCTTGCTGCCGCCAGCATGGCTGCAGCCGCCAGCGTCAATGCGACGGCCAACATCGACATCGACGTTTCTTTGGGAGCAATCCCCATCGAAGTCATTGCTGAGAAGGTCCATGTTCCGACCAAGGCCATGGTCGACCTCCTCAACACCGTCGACTATGTCACGATGACCGTGGAAGACTGGTGCCCCCTCCTTCAGCAACCCATTGAAGCCGTCCAGGCCTGGCCGGACCACGTCAAAGAATACGTCTTCACCGAACTCTCGCTCGAGGTCTCGGCCTTGGTCGCCCCGGAAGCCGCCCGTGTCGACGCTGTATCTGAAGTTAAGAGCAACAAGCTTGCCGCTCGCAACGACTCGGTCCGTCGCATGGAGCGTCAAGCGCTTGCCCTTCACGATGCGCGTATCAAGTCAGGCCGAAGCGGCTGCTTCCAGAACTGGGCATGTGGCTCTTGCGTCGTTGCTGCTGGGCTTGCAGGCGCTTCTGGTATCGCTGGATGCACTGGCGCTGCTTTGGCCGCCATTGAAGGCACCGCTGGCTTTGCTCTCGCCGCAGTCTATGCTGCCTACGTTGAATGCACTGCCAAGGTTGGTGGTGCTACTACCGCCGCCATTGGTGTTTGCCACTCTGGCCTCTAGTTCGATACTGTCGGATGATTCGCGGCTAATGTAGTGAGGTAAGACATCTGTTTCCCCTTCACCTTACAGTGAGATCCTCGTCTAACGGCACCACAGATTGTCCAGAGGCTTCATTACGCCAGATGTGTTGGGCGGTTTTGAGCAGGAAGCAAGGGGCTACTTGTGGCAAGATTTTGTAGATCGGCGATGTAGCCACCATGTCTGTATTTGGTCGATGTTTGGTTTGGTTGGTGTTTCGATGCTTCGATTCGAATTAATGGGAGTGAGTGGTCAGATGGCTGTTGGATGTTTAGTCGAGGAATTCACAGATCCAATACTCACCCGTGTCCCGTGTTCCGAGTATCACCAGCCCTAACGCGCGGTGACATGCATGTTGCACGTCTTCTCTCCGCTTAGAGACCTCGCCCGCGCCATTCCCACCTATTGAAAGGGCCCTTCTCCACAGCAAGCATGTCAGCGATCAGCGCAAACCCTTGCGGCTCGTCGCCATCGCCCTCAATGTTGATTGAGCTGCACGAGAAGCTGCCACATGCGGCTAGAGGGCCCCGCAAGTCTGGACCCTGAAAAGACGTCACCCGCCAAGATATGATGGCATAGCATCAGCCGCTATTGCTCAAATACATGGCAGTCGCTTAGGACCGATGTGAACGAACAATTACGATTCTTTTTGCTGCACCTGCATACCAAAGACCCTGAACATTCGGTGCGGTCCTTCTACGGCCTCTAGGGACTACCCAGCTGACTGATAGACAGGGACCAGTACCCTCCAATCACACTATTTGACACGGCACCGCCTAGACCCTAATAGTAGTTCACAGAATTCACGTACGTTCACGCTTTCAAGGTTCCAGGATGTCTTGCAGCTTACTAAGATACGACAGCACACACTGTCTTCACCATGAGCTCACGACCATCTCTCATGCCGCCCACCGAGGGCTCCTTCCTCTCATCGGGCGCCTTCACTCCCTCGGGCCTCACACCCAACACACGCTCCGAAGCCGAAGCCGCCTTCACCTCCAATAGCACTTCGCAAACCGATGCGGCCGCTCCTGACCCAAATCTTTTGCCCCTGATGGGTGCCGGTGGAGGAAACGAGACAACAGACAATGGCCCAACTGAAGCTGTCCGCGCTTACACTGGCTACCGCCGCCCTGGCATGGCTCGAGCAAGCTCAGCAAACTACGAGAACGCACTGAAGCGAGCGCAGCAAGCGTCCGTCTCGTCCGACTTCTCCGCCGACTCTGAAGTACCCGACAACGTCACTGCGGGCCGAACAGTCGCGTCGCCGACAGGCTCCACTCCATTCCCGCCTCCCGGTCAAGGTGTAGTGCCCCTCAACTACAACTCTACTCCCGTTGGCGCCGCTCAAGGCGATGCAGTCAAGAAGACTCGTTCGCGTGGCCTGAGTCTCAGTGGCCTTGCCCAGCAGCAGGGATGGAGCGAGCAGGACTACAAGCGTGTATACAGCGCCGATTTGCTTGCTGAAGAACCGAAGAACAGCGCTGGATATGGCTCAGGCCCGAAATAAGAGGCGAGCATGACATCACGGTGCATGACGGCGTTCATGCAGACCGACACTCAGCCCAAGGGAATGCAGCGGTCATTATAGGACCGCTAGCTTGCTACAACTGCTATTACATTTACCATATCATGAGCTACATGCAAGGCGTTGGGTGGAGTTCTGCCAAAACATCTAGGTCGCAGGCCGACGATCCTGTTTAATACATCGATTATGATCCAGTGCATTTCACTATCGTCCTTGACATGAATGCGATAAGAGCCACAAACGTTGAGAAATAGCAACTACTAACTGCGTAGCATCATATTGCCCTTCTCTACCATCTTCTTATACTTCTCGCATCTCAGTTTGTTGTTGCACCTGTATGCCTCTCCACCCTCTCTACACTGCTCTGGTCCTACGCAGCATGTCATGTCTCTGCATTCGGTCCAGCAAGTCCTTTTCCCGCACGTCTGCTCACATACTTCTTTGAACCATTCATTGCTACTATGCAGTCTTTCGCACTTTGCTTCGCACTTCAAGTGAGCATTACCCAGGTCACAAGTCTCCAGGCATGTATCGCGAAACGCACTGCAACCTCGAGATAGAGTTTCGAGTCCATTTGGAGCGGAAGCGAGCGAGAGAGACGTCCAGTTTCGCGTCTCCGAGGAGCGAAAGGGCAAGACACAAGAACCAGTATGGCAATGCGTTGGGGTACTTCCCCAGCAAGACTCCACACAATCCCGATCCGGTGCAAGCGAGGCGTTGATCTCTTGCCATGTTTGTTGCTGACATTGAGTATGGTTCTTGAAGCAATTGGGCGAGCGTAAGCTGTCTGCCAAAGCGTCAAGTGTAGGTGGAATACACCTGTCGTGTATGCATCGGACCCAGGACTTCACGCAGTCTTCGCACTCCACCGTATGCGCCGGTTCGAGAAGGCCAGCACGATCAGCGAGGCCTTTGCAGATCTGGCGCTCGCACGCCCCGTTGACGCCGCAATGAACGGGACCGGCTGTGCAGAGCTGAAGCTCGCATTGTAGAGTTCGCTGGTGGTCTGTTGTGTGGAGTGGGTAGGGCGGGGCGAGTTCATGCCACGGGGGATTGTATGCCATTTCGCGTTCGTGAGGTCTCTCGCAGTTATTCAGGTATAGCTGACAGTCCGTACACGTTTTCACCTCCGCGTTGTCCGCATCTTTTCTCGCTTCCGCATTCGCTATCCTGTTGAGCTCTACATTCTGCAGAGACAGGATTGGAAAGCGACCAGTGAGGCTGACGTCGCAAAAGTCGCACTCGGAGCATTCTTGATCGCTACACAGATCGTCGGCTGTGTTTCGATGCGATAACGAGCTTGGAAGTACGAGGTCTTCAGCAGCGTCGCCCATGAGCGAGCGATAGTCGGCGTAGCATGAACGGTCGCATGTTTGCTGTTCCGACCCTCGGATACCGAATAGAGAGGAGAGAGACAGCGCGATTACAGGGGCCGGAAGAGATAAAATAATGTAGGCTTGTGATAGTAGCATGGCGGCGATGGGATGGGTTGGTGCGGGTTGATTGAACGAAACGGACCTCAAAGTGGGGGCCCGAAGCTTTGAACACCAGAGGACTAAATTTCTAGGAAGTACATCGTGGAAGTTTTCACTAAGAGATAAAGCTGAGAGTGAACTGACCGCCTAGGTATTCCGGGCGAGCTCGCGCGAGTCACGTGACTGTCACTTTCCGCGAACGCCGGATTTGTATCCCGCATTCCGCATTCCCTCATCTCGGCACTCTAACAAACCATGACATCCGAAGCAATCTCTCAATAAGATATAATGAAACTTAAAAAGAGCAATAGCCCATCGGTACTGTTGGTCGAGCCTGCCCGATCGAGTCGCTGGATTGAGGGTACAAACACTGAAAGCGGAGAAGGCTTGGCTTGATGCGTTGAGGATCTAGATTGTTGGATTGTATACTAGCTGATAGGCTGTTAGTTGACCGACGGCGCAAGTGTTCGAGAATGAGTTCAACTACTCGCCCATTCGGGTGTTTGTTAGCATCGGGGTAGCTCTTTCCCTCACCATCGACCTATCACCTGCTTCAGATCATGAGGCAGCCGTTACCTCTACACCGCTCGTGCTTCTAGCTTGGCCCCTTTTGTACGTCGATGTGCTTTGTAGACCGAATTCCTCCACTCTTTCCTTCCTTCCTGCACCCTCAACTTCAATTCTCTTCTCCTGCCACTATATTTCACTACCACCTCATCCTACACGCTCACTGAAGATGCGATTCAACAAGATCTTCATGGCTCTGGCCATGGTACTACCTGTGGTGTTCTCTGCCAGCATTCCATCCTCGGAGCAGTTCTGCGAGCCTGGCACTCGAAAGTGCGACTACAACGACGTGGTGATCTGCAATCCCCAAGGCACTGAATACTGGGCGGATCAGTCATGTAGCAAGACCGAAATCTGTACCATTGACACCAACAACCCTGATGATCATGGTCATTGTATCGCGATCTGCGACATCCCCGGCGAAGAGCGCTGCCTCGGCAATGAGTGGCGTGTCGCATGCAACAATGAGCACCGATGGAAAGCCATTGAATCATGCCCTACACCCGGAGTATGTAACACACTCATGAACAAGACTTCCTGCGCCACTGCAGACTTGCCACCGGCGCCTCTCCCTCCTGGCACTCCACCGCAACCTGAGCCTTGCAAAACAGTGACCGAGACGCGATGCTCAAACTGGTCAAACGGTCTTTACCGCATCGAGATGTGCAACTATGATCAATTCTGGCTTGCCTATGGGACCTGCGGATCGGAAGAGTTTTGCATGCACTGGGTGCCTGGTCAATACGTGAGCCAAGGCGAAACAAAATGCGTCTACGACCCTGAAATCCTGTCCACTGCTCCTCCTCCCAAATCCCTTGAATCTCGGTCGTGGATATCGCAAGGAACTCCAGATGCTCATGAGTATTGCGATACTGGCACGTCTCGCTGCTCTGGCAACAAGCGTCAGGAGTGTGTCGACAACGTCTGGAAATCTACCATGTGTCCTAAGACTTCCGAATGCGTCAAGCATGACGATGTCGTGCAATGCTGGATGAAGCCACCTACTCCCCCAACTGTACCAGAGCCATGCACACCGGGCGATCGGAAGTGCGACTCTGACGCATACGCCCTCATGCTTTGCGGAGACAACGAAATGTGGCATACCGAGAAGAAGTGCACCACTTACGGAGATTGCATCACTGACGGCCCAGGGCAAGCGCACTGCGAAACTGGTGGTGTAGGTCCGTCGAAAATGCAACGTCAAACCAACAGCACCGAATGCGCCTACGGGGACTGGGCCTGCGACACCCACCAGCGCTTCATGTACAAATGCAACAAAAACGGTACATGGTCGGTGCCGTACCAGTGCAGCAGGGCCGGTGGCTGCCAACCCGAGGGACCTACAGATGCTTTCCCCAAGGGAAGAATGACCTGCGCGGGCTTTCCGAAGTACTTGTACCCTTACCCTGACAACAGAGTCTGTGAAACGGTCAGAAGCTGCGAGTACATGATGTATCTTTACCTTATTGCTGTAAGTATCCCCCTTCCCTGCTCGTTCTCTTCTACTACGACGATACATCTGGGCTTTGCGAACAATGACTAACGCGCTGATAGGGCTCACCTGATGCTGAGACCAAGGAGAAGTACCGCAAGAGCATGTGCGTCGATGAGGCTGTAAGTGGACTATCATCAAGAATAGATGGAGTGGGCTAACCTACTTTCAGTGTATGGACTGCGATCGCTGCACTTACAAACTCGGACATGGCGAGGTGCTACAACCTGATCTGCGCACCCTCATCCATGGATCGCCGGTGCCTGACAATTTTGACTAGTAGTCACGAGAGAGTGGGATGAAGTACCATGTCGGCTTGAGTATAACGAAGGCAGTTGGCGATGGGATTGATGCGTAGTGGAAACTACACATGTCAATACGTCTCCGATATGGCGAACATTCTGACCTTGGGTAACCCTATGTATACTCACCTGTAGTCCTCTACCAAAATGAATGGCTTACCAGCTGAATCACAAGCTTGCAAGCCGGTGACACTCCAAGGCGATATAGTCCTCTCTTTATATTCACTCAACCCAACGTCATTAGATCTTTCACAACGCCGACGCGACCGATCCGTTCTCTCACCCACCTCTTAACCTATCACTCAGTTACCAAGCGTTCCTCTCCCAACACACGAATTAGACAACCATAACAACCGCACAAACATGCACACCATCCTCCTACTCCTATCCGCCCTCTTCCTAGCCCCCCTAGCCTTCGCCGCAACACCAACCACCAACCCCCGCACTACAACCTACCGATGGATCCCCAAACCCGCAACCCTGCTATCCGAGATCCCCGGATCCGGCGTTTGTGACGAGGAGATTGAGTATTGCATGAAGGTACGTATCCGCCACTGAGACCAGAGAAAGATATTCATTGCTGGATTCGAGCTGACGGTCTAATAGACCAAGATGGGTTTGACGCGACAGCTACAGATGCAGCAGTGTAAGCTGTGGGCTTGTGCGTTTCATGATACGGTAAGTTGGGTTGGGGAAGGATGGGGATGTGAAGTTGGCTAATATGGTCGTAGTGTCCTGGTACTAGGTACTGCGATGTTGAGTATACTCTCTAGTGACGTTGTTCAAAGTCGTCGCGGAGAAGAGGAGCCCTGGCCGTATCGTGGGGATATAGGAAGACACATCAGTGTACATGGTAGTAGAAAGAAGCAGGTAAAGATTTTGTCACCTGGAATAGACTGGATGGTTGACAGATCATCGATGTGCATATACCTCTATTTGAGCCAGTTGACTCTTCAAACTATTGTACCTCTTCCTGCGCCGATCTTGCCTAAGCGCCATGCTATGCTTGAAACCACTTTTGTTGTAACCGCAACTCCTTATGCGCCGTTCATGACGGGCCTCCGAGAAACCTCATCAGGTACCCTCCCAACGATCCAAACAGCGGGAATCCCGTGTTGTGACCCCCATTCCTGCCGAGCCACAGGGCATAGGCACCCACTACCATGGCAAGACCAACAGCTCCGTACCGGCGGTGGCGCAAAACACGCAGCTTGATGTAGTGAATTGTCTTGACGGCCTGTCTGAAGGTCTGCGCGCGGCGGAGGTCCTGCTCCTGCTGCAAAAACAGCATCTCGCCATCTTCCAAGGTAAGATGACGCAGACTGTTGTTTGTCGCAGACGATTTGAGTACGCTGGAAGACGAGATGCGCCACCATTCCCAGCTGTTGAGCGACGCAGGAGGTAGTCTCTCGTACAGCTCGACGGTCCGGGCGATGTGGAACTCGACATCGAAGGGCTCTGGGAGCTTCCCTAGCATGACGTAGAGTATGTCCTCGTCATCCTTCTCGTACTCCAGCAGCTCCTCCCTCTTGGATAGCACCACAGCTGCGAAGAGGTATATGGGCATAACGGCATGTCGCGCCAAGAAGAAGTCAAACAGCCTCGTGATATCCTTATAGTCTTGTATATTGTGGGCGAACATGGTGATTGTTCCGGCGAGCGCGAAAGACGGCTGGCTTTTGGGGAGGTGCTCATACAGGACGGGATCGGCGGCGCGGAGGATCGGTCGCAGCAATTCGAGCTGGGCGAGGGCTGGGTCGAGCGACGACAGCATGAAGTCGCGAATGCGAAGAAGGCTTAGTCGGGCAACTGCAGCGGGGGCATGTTCGGGGCCGAGAACGAGTAGGAAGACCTGGACGATATCGTGGTAGCCCTGGAAGTAGCAGAGCGTGGGGTGATGGCGAAGGACGTCGAGGATGACATCGGAGAGCTGCTCTTTTCGACGACTGAGCTGCTTCTCAGATTCTGTTCCTATCAGTATGAAACACAAGTTGGTTCGCTTGTATGCAACATACCGTTCCTGGGGTAGTAGACAAACGCGCGGTTGACGTCCAAGCCAACCTGATGCTCATCCTTGTGCTCGGAGAGATGTTTCCATGGCTCCTTCTCTGAATCCTTGTCAGAGCATCCTAGCAAGAGAGGCCCTATAGTTGTCAGCTTAGTGTGGAGATGTGTGCAATGGGAGGCCTACAAGCAGTGCAACGCAAGCTATCGCTGACTAGGCCAGAGGGACTGGTCGCGAGGTCTACCAGGGCCGTGACGTCGCCATTGTCGATTGCGGTGCGCACTAGAGACTCCTTCTCCTTCTCGGCAGGCGTGAGGTGGGGGACGGGGGTGGCATGTCGCGTGGGCAGGCTGCCAGAGCTCACTGAGCGCGACACGGAGCCAGAGGGAGTGCGTGATGCCATGACAGTGCCCGCATTTCGAGACGTGCCCTCAGTACGCGGCAGGGGCAGGAAAGAGCTGGATCTGGGACGCGATGACGTGGCCAACGTGGGCCCTCGTGTGCGCAGGAGAGCGCAGGGAAGAGATGCAAGAGAGTGGCAAGATGTTTGATGGAGGAGCTACATGCTGTTGCGCGTGGGCGTCCCAGCTGCCGGGTTGACGTGACGGGTCGCGCCTTCCTCCTTGTCCAACCGAGGCGCTTGGCACCCCACCGAGTTGTGAAGGTCAACTACCGGCACTTGCCGTATCCCATCCCATCGCCATCATCTTTTATCCGCTGTCTGCGCGGGGGCGACGACCGTGTAACCCAACAACACCACTCGCGCCCACCTGTTCGCCGGCGGCCACCAAGGCCCGAGACGCTGCCGTGCCGCCAAATCTTCCGCGTCGGCGCACTTGTCTGCATGCTCGACACCTTCACGCCGACCAACCATTGCTGGAAGACTTCCCGTACCCTGGTCAACTTCTGCGCCGCACCACTGGACTTGCAACCAACTCACATAGCCATCGCGATCCGACCGCGATCCGACTAAGATCGTACTCCCTGCTGCACGATCATCTGGTGATCTAGATCGGTGCCCCCTTCCGATACTTGAAGCGCACTACACGAGCCTTTCCGCGCTCTACACGTGCTGCGTGCTAGTAGTAGGTGCATCCGGTAACTTCATCTCTGAGAAGGTGTCCAGGGTGCTGTAGTGGCCTGCTAGCTGCCGGCTTGAGTTGGTCAAGGCATCCCGGTTCCAGTTGCCTTAGGTCGCTGCTGCTATTCCGCTCACCACCACTAACCGTCCAATCCAGCCCTTGCCACATCCGACAGGCTTTCTGTTGCATCAATTGATCCCAGTACCTATTGCTGAAGTTCCTTGCCTCATCAGCGTGTCTGACAAGCCTGTTACGACAGGCAGCAACATGTCATCCGTTTCAGCTCTGAGTCTGCCTTCGTTGCTTCTACCTACGCTGGTCTGATCTCATCCCGTGTTGTGCGCGGAATTTGTCACCATCGATTTCGGTCTTCAAGCTATACATTGTTTCCAGCCTTCCGAATAGGCCTTAATTAAACGTCATGGCCCAAGCCCACGGCCTCAGCCTCGTCGACGGTGAGTGGGTTTCCAGACCGCTCGACCCTTATCAGATCATGGCCAACGCGTCTCAAGATGACGTTGAGATGCGGGATGCAACGCCCAAGCCAACAAGCCAAGTGCCTGAATACGGAATACTGTCGCAGACTGTCTTTGAGACACCGCTAAGCAAACTCATCCTTCCGGCGAAGATACGTCACAAAGATCTGACCGACGTTGTCATGGTCGGCGAGGACTTCATACGTCTCAAAGAGATCCGTGACTATGGCCAGATCCGCCATGTGGCTTCCAAGACTGACTTCAACGGCGGCCGCATCATTACCGCTAAAGTCTTTGGCGACCCTCGTGAAGTCTCCGCAACCACAAATGGCAGTCCTTCGCTACATCAAAATTACATGAAGCACAGGACAAGAAGGCCAACCACGGGAATTGGAGACAACGCCTTACCTCCGGAAGTCATTGTGCTTACTCTATCAAACCGATCGTTGATGTTCTTGTGGGCTCAACACGATACGGCAGGTACTGCCACATTCATCCAGAAGACCATCAAGCTACCTGCAGGGAGTTCCCGCTTAGATCGCTTTGGTACCTTCCTCGCTATAGATCCCAAATGCCGAGCAATGGCAGTCGCAGCACACGAAGGGCGCTTTATCCTCTACAAGACGAAGCCGATGGAAAGATGGAAAAGAGATTCTAGGATGAACAATGAGATTGCCGCGCCTATTGAAGATGAGCGAATCATGTCTATTGAAGGTCAGATCATGCACATGGATTTCCTATCATCAGGGGGTGGGCAGGACGACTACCACGTTGTTTTGCTGTTCGTTGTCGTCCTCCAAGGTAGGACCAGGCTCACCTGTTTCGATTGGGATTGCAGACAGGATCTCAGTAAAGCAACTCCTCGGACGGAGCGATACCTTGTCCAGTCTGGTAAGTGTATAGACGTACTAAGCAGTATATGAGCGTTACTGACCTGTCTAGAGGACACAATACCTTCTCTACTCATACCACTTCGCCGGAGTCCGGATTTCCTTCTAGTTTCCGACGACCACATCTCGGTTTACAAAAACATTCTCTCTGGAGATCCAACGCAAACCACAGTGCCGATCGACAAGACAATACTCCAATCAATACTGCCGGGCGATGGCAAGCACGCCCCCAAGTGGACCGCTTGGGATAAGGCGCCGCGCAACTCCGATTACCAAAAGGAGGTGTTTTACATTGCAAGAGAGGATGGCCGTATTATGTATGTGGTGCGAGGGCCAGCGGGCACTCTGGAGATCGATGAGGCTGGTGATTGGCAACACCGGATTGACACCTCCTTTTCATGCTTGGGCATCGACAACTCAGAAATGTCGCAGCAATACCCAGATCTTCTGATCGCCGGTGGGGCAAGCAATGATGGATTGCTTTGCAAAGTCGGTGCCTGGCCCACTGAGTACTCGTATGCAGTA